AGAAAGAAAGAAAGAAAGAAAGAAAGAAAGAAAGAAAGAAAGAAAGAAAGAGAGATAAAATTCAAGTTTCAAGTTTAGGGATTCATGAATTTTATCCTATTCTGTTTTTGTTGTGTTTACATTGACACAGAATGCTTGATTCAATCTAGAAAATGGGAAAATCCCATATTTAGACTCTTAAATCGACAGGAAAATATCACCAATCACAGGTTGAATGCTTTATTAAGTTTATCCCTTGAATTTCTATATGAAGCACCCACCCATTGTTCCTTAATGCACCAGTCAGACCTGGTAGTAGTCAACAGTGAATTTTATCTTCAGAGTTAAGAATTTCAGATCCTCGGAGCATTCTGTGACCCAGTGGCACTTATTCAGAATGGGTACCACACCATAGCTGGGGAACTTTAAATGTACCAGGGGGTGCAGGGGGAGCTGTTTTTTCTTCAAGGGGAAGAAAGAAAATGACTCCTCAAACCCAACCAATTTGGCTGAGGTCTATCTGTCCCATCTCTTCAGGATTCTTTTCTCCAATTTCTTTCCTTTTCTGCAACAGAGCAAGAGAAACCAAAACCTAACCTGAGTTACAAGAAAACAAGACAGTGACAGCTGTAGAGGGAGTGACCAGGAGCAACTGGAATGCTTTTACCTTCCACATGCAATGTCCATGCTTCACAGAAAAACAGTGACAACAAATTCACAAAATACAACAGTTAAAATTACAAAGCCGGATCCAAGATGGCGGCACCAGGAGGACACTCTTTTTGACCAGCAGCACAAGAGGATCTGCACAATGACCAGCAGACAGAACTCTCAGTCCAAAAACACCAGCGACCAGTGTTTCCCGGGTGAGAGGATACCCCACGGTGTGGGATTCAATCAGCTTCAACTCCCCCAGCTAAACCACAAAAGAGGTCCCAGTTCCACCAGGCACTTGATCGCCAAACCAGAGCCACACACCAGCCTGCTCTGATCACTGTCCCAGACTGTGGGCCCCACAACACAAGAAACAGGGATTTTCAGTCGAGAGGAAACCCTACAGTGCAGGAAACGTTGGGACCGACCTTAGGTCACCCAGACAATCCTGGAAAAGACTCGAGGTCCAGCAGGTGCCCAGCAGCCAGCCCAGAGCTGGGGACACAGGTGCCAGCACAGAGTCCTGCCTGGGCACCTGACTCACTGCCCCAGATAGAACTGTAGCCCCTAGGGCCCCAGAGACTGAATTTCTCTATGGAGTGACCCACAGAGAGGGGAACAGCAGGTCTGACCTCAGATCATTCAGCCGACACCCCTCCCCCCGAAAAGTTCTCTGGAAAAGTTACAGTTTCAGCAGATGCCCAGGCACCCAATCATCAGCAAGGCAGAGCTGTGTGCCTATACCAGCAGGTTCTACTCGCCATCCCAGAAAGAATTGTGATCCCCAAAGCGCAGTCTGGGTGTCCCTGTCTGGAGGAAACCCCACAGTCGGGGGATTATCAGGTCCAACGCTCAGGACACCCAGCTCCAGAAGACTTTCTGGATTCACACAGACTGTAGGCTCTACCTTCTGCTGCAGGCATGAGTGCTGTGCTCACCTGTCATTGATTACTGCTAGGGCACAGGAGAACACAGCTGCAACCTCAGACCTACAAAAGCCTGAGAACCACTAGAGCAGCCCTCAGATACTGGTCCAAGGTGCGACTGGTTATCCCTAGCTACACTGACAAAACTGTGGGACTCCCTGGTTCTTCAAGAGGGCTACACCCAAAAAATACACCTTAAGAACAGCAGCTGCAGCTCACTAAACTCAGAGCAAAAAACCCAGCAGCAGGGCAGCCATCTCCAGGACTTCTCCTAATGAGAGGAGAGCCTTCCTGAACACCATAGTTACTACACAGGTCTATATGCCTGAGGTGAATTGTGACAATTCCTGAGAAGCACCATGTTTCAGTTGACCATACCCAAAAAGCTAAGGAGATCTACTTCAGAAACCTACCAAGGGGATTCTCCCACCCCAGGACCCAGCAGGCACCAGAAATTAACAGATAACACCTGAGATAGCCAGATGGGTAGAGGCCACCATAAAAATACAACCAGCAAAAGGCAAAGCAATATGGCATCCCCAGAACCCAGTTACCCAGGGGCAAGTAGCCCTGGACACCCTCACATAGGAGAAATTCAAGAAGATGACCCCACATCTATGCTTATGAAAAGGCTAATGGAGGAAGCAAATAAAATACATAAAGAATTAGAGGAAGATACAGTAAAACAGATTGTGACCATCTGTAAAGAAATACAGGAAGATGCAGCCAAACAGTTTGTGGCTTTCAGAGAGAAAATGATTAACTCACTGAAAGAAATAAAAGAAACAGTGGAATGTTCAAACAGACAGGTGAAGGAATTGAAGGAAAAACAGGAAAATACAATCACACAGGTGAAGGAAATCAACAAAATGGTTCACGATCTGAAGATAGAATTGGAAAAATTAAAAAAAAAACACAAACGGAGGAAATCATGGAAAGGGAGAACCTAGGAAAGAAAACAGAACTACAGAGGTAAGCATAACCAACAGACTACAAAAGATGGAAGAAAGAATCTCAGGTGTGGAAGATACAATGGAAGAAATTGATGTATCCGTCAAAGAAAATAATAAATCTAAAAAATTCCTGACACAAACCATCCAAGAAATCCAAAACAACATAAAAAGACAAAACCTAAGAATAATAGCAATAGAGAAAAAAGGCCCAGAAAATATTTTCAACAAAATCATAGAAGAAAATTTCCCCAACTTAAAGGAGAGGCCTATAAAAATACAAGAGCCCTACAGAACACCTAATAAATTAGACCAGAAAAGAAAATGCTCCCGCCACATAATAATCAAAACAGTAAGTATACAGAACAAAGAAAAAATACTAAAAGCTACAAGGGAAAAAGGCCAAGTAACATATAATGGCAAACCCATCAGAATCACACCTGACTTTTCAACAGAGACTATGAAAGCCAGAAGGGCCTAGACAGATATCATGCAAACCCTAAGAGAACACAGATGCCAGCCTAGGCTTCTATACTCAGCAAAACCCTCAGTCCTCATAGACGGAAAAAAACAAGATATTCAATGACAAAAACAAATTCCAACCATACCTACACACAAATCCAGCATTACAGAAGATAACAGAAGGAAAAATACAAATCAAAAAAACTATCTACACTCAGGAAAACAGAGGAAATAAATAACCTCACTACAGCCAAACTAGAAGTAGCCAAACACACAAACACTACCACAGCCAACATCAGTAATAAAGGATCTAATAGCCACAGATCATTAATCTTTCTCAACATCAACAGACTCAATTCTCCAGTAAAAAGACACAGACTAACAGTGGATATGTAAACAAGACCCAACAATCTGTTGCATACAAGAAATATACACCTGAGTCACAAAGATAGACATTACCTGAGAATAAAGGTCTGGAAGACAATTTTTCAAGTACATGGACCCAAGAAACAAGCAGGATTAGCCATTCTAATATCTAATAAAATTAATCAAAAAAGGACACTTCCTACTCATCAAGGGAAAATTCCACCAGGAAGACATCACAATCCTGAACATCTATGCCCCAATTACAATGACACCTGTATTTATAAAAGAAACATTAATAAAAGTGAAAACACACATAGATCCCCACACATTAATAATGGGAGACTTCAACACCCTACAAAGGACAGGTCAACAAACCACAAATTAAACAAAGAAACAATGACCCTAACAGAGGTCATGAATCAAATGGACCTAACAGACATCTACAGAAAAAAAGAATTTACCTTCTTCTCAGCAACTCACGGAACCTTCTCCAAAATTGACCATATAGTTGTCACAAAGCAAGACTCAACAGATACAAGAAGATTAAAAATAATCCCTTGTATCCTATCTGACCACGATGGACTAGAGCTGGACCTCAACATCAACAGAAATAGCAAAAAGCCTACACACACATGGAAACTGAACAACTCGCTACTCAATGACAGCTGGGTCAGGGAAGAAATAAAGAAATTAAAGTCTTCCTAGAATTCAATGAAAATGAAGGCACAACATACCCAAACTTATGGGACACAATGAAAGCAGTGCTAAGAGGAAAATTTATAGCTCTAAGTGCCTTCAAGAAGAAATCTGAAAAATCTCACTCAAGCAACTTAATGGCTCACCTAAAAGCCCTAAAAAAAAGAAGCAGACACACCAAAGAGGAGTAGACAGATGGAAATAATCAAACTCAGGACTAAAATCAATCAATTAGAAACAAATACAACTATTCAAAGAATCAATGAAATCAAGAGCCGGTTCTTTGAGAAAATCAACAAGAAAGACAAACCCTTAGCCAAACTAACTAAAAGGCAGAGAGACACTATCCAAATCAACAAAATCAGAAATTAAAAGGGGACATAACAACAGACACTGAAGAAATCCAAACAATCATTAGGTCTTACTTCAAAAGCCTATATGCCACAAAATTTGAAAATCTTAATGAAATGGACAATTTTCTTGATTGATTCCACTTGCCAAAACTGAATCAAGACCAGGTAAATCATTAAATAGTCCTATATCCCCTAAAGAAATAGAAGCCGCCATCAAAAGTCTCCCATGCAAAAAAAAAAAAACAGGGCCAGATGGTTTCAGTGCAGAATTCTACCAGACTTTCAAAGAAGAGCCAACACCAATACTCTTCAAACTATTCCACAAAATAGAAACCAAAGGAACATTACCAAATTCATTCTATGAAGCCACAATCACCTTGGTACCTGAAGCTCACAAAGACCCAACAAAGAAAGAGAATTTCAGGCCAATCTCCCTTATGAACACTGATACAAAAATACTCAACAAAATACTGGCAAACTGAATACAAGAACACATCAAAGATATCATCCACTACGACCAAGTAGGCTTCATCCCAGGCATGCAGGTGTGGTTCAATATATGGAAATCCATCAATGTCATCCATCATATTAACAAACAGAAGGAGAAAAACCACATGATCATCTCTTTAGATGCTGAACAAGCATTTGATAAAATGTAACATCCATTCATGTTTAAAGTCTTGGAGAGATCAGGGATACAAAGCACATACCTAAACATAATAAAGGCAATATACAGCAAGCCTATAGCCAACATCAAACTCAATGGAGAGAAACTTAAAGCAATCCCACTGAAATCAAGGACAAGCCAAGGCTGTCCACTCTCTCCATATCTCTTCAACATAGTTCTTGAAGTCCTTGCTAGAGCAATAAGACAATTAAAGGAGATCAAGAGGATTCAGTTTGGAAAGGAAGAAGTCAGAGTATCACTATTTGGAAATGATATGATAGTATACATGAGTGACCCCCAAAATTCTGCCAGGGAACTCTTACAGCTGATAAACACCTTCAGTAAAGTGGCTGGATACAAAATTAAATCAAAAAAACCAGTAGCCCTTCTGTATACAAAAGACAAAAGGGCCGAGAAAGAAATTAGGGAAACAACACCCTTTACAATGGCCACAAATGACATAAAGTACCTTGGTGTGACCCTAACCAAGCAAGTCAAAGACTTGTATGGAAAAAATTTCCAGTCTCTGAAGAAAGAATTAGAAGAAGGTATCAGAATATGGAAAGATCTCCCATGCTCATGGCTTGGCAGGATTAATATAGTAAAAATGGCC